CAAAAATTATATAATTTTGTATTTAATGTGATTTTATTTTTGAGAAACTTCATAAAAAATTTGAAATTTTGGTTTAAAAACATACTCGAAAGTTTGAAAAAAGAAAAAACTGAATTATTTTCGCCTCAATTTTGTATTTTTATGCTTCAAAAAAGCAAAAATATTACCATTTTCGGTCTAAATTGGTCAATTTTTGGCTTATTTACACCAAAATTTTTGCGTTTTTAGCTAAAAAATGTGCTAAAACCCTCGAAAAAATCAATTTCAAGGCTCGATTTCAGGAAAGCGCAATGAGGCGCCATCTTGCGACGTTTCCCCGTCCTCACACACAGTTTCCTTCGCCGGGAAAACCGGAAAATTCGGAAAACTCGCCAATTTCTTGTCTCACAATTAATATTTTTTTGTAAAATTAAAAAAGTAATTTTTTTTTCATTATTATTTTTATTTTTCCGGCAACCACCACAAAATATCGATCGGCGATCAGCTGTTGTTTTCCGCCGCCTACTCGATCTTGAGTTTCCATGGAAAACGTGATAAAAACACTGAGTTTCGAATGAATTTGAAAGGTAACATTCTCGTTACCAAATTTTAGTTTTTCTTCGTTCAAAATGAATTCTTTGAGTCGGGGCTGCTCCTACAGCCCCCACGAATCCCTCGAATACACAGCTTTACAGTTCGCAGCTCGACGAGGCTCTTTGGAGCAAGTCCGGTGTGTAGCCCTTCGCCCTTTGTCCCCCTTTTAACTGTCTTAATTCAGATATTTGGTCGAGAGTGGGACAGACCTTGATACAGGCCCCGACCCGGCTTTACATCTAGCCCTCCGGAAACAAAACACAGCGATAGCACATGTTCTTCTCCACGCTGGAGCTGATTTCGAGATCAAAGATTCGGTAAGTGGCCCTTTTTGGCCCTTTGAAATGGAATAAAGGCCCCGGTTGTAGCATGGAGACTACCCCATCCACATAGCTTGTACTTTAGGGCTTTTAGACGTGGTCCACGCCTTGTGTGCTTTGGGATGCAGTGTTGAGGTTTTGACGGCAAAAGGGCTCTCGCCCTTGCATTTGGCGGCCAAAAACGGCCATTTACACGTCGTTAGGTACACCAAGCCACGAATTTTGCCCGATTTAGTGACATTGATTTCTCTTGGTAGGTGTTTATGTGCAGCTGGGTGCAATATAGACATCCGCAATTCTGATAATATAAGGGCTGATATAACAGCTTTGAAATATGGTCATAATGACATTGCCGAACTGTTGGATAGGTTAAGGGTCACTGGGCAAAGGGACACTTTAGCTCGACAGTTGGTGCCAACCTCGAAACCGGCCCTTAGGTTGAATTTGCGTCTTTTGGGGCACTCTGGGGTTGGGAAAACTTCCCTAATCAAGTCGCTAAGTGCCGGGTTGTTTAGTTCTTTGTTTCGGAGGTCGAGTTCGCTCCAAAGCAACAAATGTAAGTCTTCTTTTGTGTTGCCTTCATGGGCGTCGACTACCCATTGGAATTTTTTGATGGGTGCTGGGCATTAGCGCATTTGGTAAAATAATAATAATAATTTTTCATTTTTAATAATCAAAAACGTTCTTAGTCACTTGTGTAATTAATATTTCAGTAATTTTTATGTATGTTATTTCCTTCCACAAAAAGTTTTGTGGTTTTGCTGCTTGTTTTAGCAAATTTTACAGATTTTTTCCGAAAAAATTGTTTTTTATTTGAAAAAAATGCATAATCTTGCTAAAAACTTGAACTTTGTGTTTTTTTTTACTTCTTTTGTGACTAATTTTTATCAAAACCAGTTAAATCTAGTGAAACAACAAAATACCATTTTTTCGATTTGTTTTTGTGATTTTTAGGCCTGGAAAAATCAATAAATTTTTAGTTGCAACAAAACAAACTAAATCAAGCAAAACTAGCTAAAATAATTTCATTTATTTTTTTTTGTTAATTTAAAAAAATAAGTAAATTTGCTTTTATCCCAAAACGTGCTTAATCACTTAAAAAAAATCAAAAACAACACAATTTTTAGCTTACTTTTCGCTGGTTTTTACCAAATTGTTCAATTTATTGCGTTTTAAAAAAAATAAACAATAATTTTTGTTATAATTTAGAGATTTTTTGCTTTATTCTAGAAAAATTTTGATGTCATTTGAAAAGCATGCTTGTAAGTTTGAAAAATTGATAAAAATAAAAATAACATTATTTTTGAATAAGTTTTGTGATTTTTTTGCTTGATGTTGACTAATTTTTACCCAAAAATCAGTCAAATCGAACGAAATAAACAAAATACCATCGTTTTTGATTTGTTTTTGCGATTTATAGACGTTTTTTGACAAAATCTTGCAAAATATGTGAGTTTTTGATTCAAAAAAAAAACTAAATTGAGCGAAATAAAATAATGTCAATGTCGATCTAATTCGGTAATTGCTCAGTTCATTTTAGACAAATTTTTTGTTAAAATTTGTTTTTATCTCAAAACGTTTTTATTTCCTCGAAAAGAGAC